AGATGGTCTTCTGAGGTACTTTGATAATGAGAAATTGGACCCTCCGATTTCACCGTACATACGTTGGTTACTGTATTTTAGTTATCCACATTTATTTCAATTGTATACCGCAAATATTATTTCTAGGGGTTAATTTTCCCAACAGTAATGCAGTGGACAGCTCCCCGCTGAATCGTGAAAAGACGCAAGAAATGCCTGAAGAAATTACCAAGGACAGAAATATTCGTGCTTTAAATACCCCCTGGACGGTATTTCTAGTTATTTTAGTATCGCAAAGAGCTAGGGCAATTCTTTTTCGAGCAAGGTTGGCCTGGATTAGCTCTAATACAAGACCCTTCCGTGATTCTCAATGGGCTTGTTGATTAAAACTATGTGTCCATCTTTAATTTTAAATTAAAGGCTTAGATTGTCTGATTCTCTTTCTTCATTTTCTTGCTCAATGTTCAAAGGAGAAGCAGTATTTGAGCTTTTGTGGTTAAGTTCGAAGGAAATATTGAAGCTTGATGTTTTTGCCAAATTCATCTTCAAAGGCATAACATTCATTTAAGCAAATGCTAGCTTTTCCAATTTTAAGAATCTTTTCAGCTCGTTTATTGATCTCTTCCTCTTGAATAGCTTTATTTAGCAACATGACTTTCAAAAATAAGAGGATATACTCCAATCCGATAAAATTTATACTCTTATCCGTTTCGATATGACTTTCATTTGCTCTGAAGGTGGCGTGTTCTGGTTTTCTTCCGTCAGAGGAGATGTCTTACAAGAGAGAGATGAGAATTGCTAAGGGGTACAATGGTAAATTTTAAGTGTTCTATTTTTTTTAAAAAAAATTAATAACACATGTTACGACCTTATTGTTGGGTGACATTATACATATTCTGAAAAATTGGTAAAGAAAAAAGTAGTGTGTCCTTAGATACGCTCTGAAAATATTTAGTGTAAGGTGATTTTCGACCGCTAAGAATGTGTAATAGAGATTTGATCTATAATTCATATGGTAACAAATATATTTTGCCCCTAAAATAAGGGGGTACGTTTAGTGTATAACCCCTCGACAAGTAAAAATGAACGGAGAGAGTACCATTTTTCACATAACTTGCTTTTCATTTTTTCAAAGGTTTATTAAATGCATTTATTATGAAAATGTTATGATATAATATTATTTTATCATATTATCCTGGAGTTTTAAAGTTTTTTTGGGTGGAGTTAATAATACTTACGAGGTACGATTTAATAGAAATTGTGCTCAGCCTCCTACATGAGGCAACTTATCACTTCTTGTTTCAGATAGCGACACAAAATTGACGGCGCGATCTAAACGTCACCTCCATTCTCTGTTAGTTATAGTCTTTAGTCTACCTTTCGGAGATTGACCTTTCTTTCTCTTCTTCCTAGTCTGATCGGTCGAGCTCTCGTAATCGATTGCTCGTATGTCCATTTCATTCTGGCTAGCGCACATCTCCAGCTATGTTTCCAACCTTTCATTTAATCTATCATTCCCGTATGAGGCATCATTCTCATGTATGTTCTTAGAGGTTCTAGTGATATTGTGAGAAGGCTAGTTGTGTACGTGCAATTATACTTCTAATTATCATGTTATGATGATGATGTCAAATTTTAATTTTTATTCCGCACTTATGTATTTTGGCTAATGTTTTGAGTTATAATGAGACTTTTAAACCAAACGTTTTAAGATGGTGTTTTAAATGCTTAAGTTATGTTTCGCACTTTGAAATGACTATCAATAGGTGGACATGTTTATGTGGTTTGCTTGGTGTGAGATGAGGTAGGGGCAGATTTAGGACGTTTTTATGTTGCACGTTAATCCATGATCTTTTCGTAAAATTAAATACTTTATGTATATATTTCGTAAAATTAATTTAATATTATCAGTTGATATTCATGCTCCAACAAAGTTGCGTGATGCACCTCGCAGTGCGTAGCCACACTATGACAAGGATGGTCAAGTGAATACCCTTCGCCGAAAAATTATACTGAGTGTATAAATCAATTATTACTTTGTATGGTTATAGATTATATTTTTTAATTCCCTTATAATTGATTAAGGCATTCTTAGTGGTCTAGGGTGTTTAAAGTGAGGTGATCACGAGTTCAAATGACTGTCCAAACATTTAAATTGCCCGTTTTATTTGTTAAAACTAAATGGAGACTACCTTATGTGGTCTATTAGACTCTTTTTCAATGTAAAACTTCTCTAATAAATAACTCTTAAAACTTAAATTGTAAAAACAAATAACTAATCTTAAAAGTAGTTTTAAAATTAAATATTGTTTCTTAAATAAATTTTATAATATAAAAGTCAAGTTCTACAAAAATCTCTCTACATGCTACAAAGTCTCTCGACTCTCTCTTTCCTTTGGTTTTATGCTTGCTCTTAGCAGTAATATTTCTATTGTCATCTTTTTTTATGTTAGTTTTGATTTACAAAATTATAGCCTTGTTACAAGTATTTTTATTGTTTAGCTAGATGTATCGTAGTTTGATGTAAAAATCTTGGTGAACTTATTCATCGGGAAAAAATTATTTTTTTTAAAGTTTGGACACCCTTGGCAAGACTATGACACTGGCACCAGGTTGAATGTTGAATTATTTATCGAGAGAAACATGGATTGATCACTTAGTACTTTTTTTTCTTGCTCTTTAGCAGTGCACGCATGTTCTAAAAATTCTAAATCCGCCTCTAAGTTGACGGCACTGAATGTCCGTCAGCACCAGGTTGAATGTTTAATTATTTATCCAGAGAAACATGGATTGATCACTTAGTACTTTTTTTTCTTGCTCTTTAGCAGTGCACGCATGTTCTAAAAATTCTAAATCCGCCTCTAAGTTGACGGCACTGAATGTCCGTCAGCACCAGGTTGAATGTTTAATTATTTATCCAGAGAAACATGGATTGATCACTTAGTACTTTTTTTTCTTGCTCTTTAGCAGTGCACGCATGTTCTAAAAATTCTAAATCCGCCTCTAAGTTGACGGCACTAATGCCCGTCATGCTTCCTTTTTGGGGTGTGACAGGATACTTACAATTGCTGGTTCATTAAAGGAGCGCGCACACATGCTCACATAAGGCAGTCGATTAAAGTGTTGAAATTTTGTGATTTCATTCTTATAGAAATTTTGTCATTTCCATTCTTATAGAAATTTTGTGATTTAAACAAAGGGGAAAATAACATGAGAAACAAGAACAAAAGAAAATCTCGGAAAAGGCAAATAGAGATGGAAAAAAGTTATCTCACATGATAGAACCATATCAGTAGTAAGTACATTATTTATTTTAATAAAAACCTCTCCTGATTCTGCTGCAGTAGTGGGAATTAAAATAAAATGGAAGTCAATATTGCAGTTAGCTAGCTGTATTAAGAATTAATTTAATCTTTTTTTTCTGCAAAGGATTCTTTTGGTAGCAGACCTGGATGGAATCATCAGCTCATCAAGCCACTCGTGCACAGCTAATTAGATAATTATCTTTATTATATTTCTTAATTACCACTCTGTCAATTCAGTACTTACTTAAATAATTCTGATTCTCTGTTTGTTTAGATCTCAAATCTTTCTATTACGTACTAACCTACATATTCATCTCATTTTCCTTTTGGATATCCTTTTTCATTCTTCATTAAAGAGTTACTTAAATAGCCTATCACCCAACTGAATAAACCAAATAAATTGGTGGATATATAATACATGTATAATCCAAGGTCAATAGATGTATAATTGTTATAATCAAGGCATAACCTATGTATACTGATTAGGAAAAGTAAATAGTGAATCTGGATTACTATTTACTTTTCGTAGCAAGTATACATTGATTATATACTGATTATATATGAGATTATACACAATTATACACAATAGCAACAGCAACAACAAACCCAGTGAGTTCCTACAAGTGAGGTTTAGGGAGGGTAGTGTGTACGCAGGCCTTAGCTCCATCTTGAGAGGGCGGAGAGGCTATTTCCAATCGACCCTCGGCTAAAGACAAGTTGAAAAGAATAAGTGGCAATAAGTGGTAACAACAAGGTATTAAGGAAACTAAAATGAAAGAATGCAATCAAATAGTAGATAGTACCAGCAATCCAAGAATAAAGAGATATCATGCTAGCACTACTTCTACCGATCTAAGAAAGAAAACTGAAAACGTGCGGCTGCCTACGAACCGTCCATCGTAATTTTCGATCTCCACACCCTGTTATCAAGGGTCATGTCCTTGTAAACCTGCCTAATTACCTCTTTCCAAAACTCTCACACCTCCTAACTAGGCATCTGTGTTTTTACTCTTCACACGTCTGAACCATTTGAGCCTCGTCTCCCACATTTTATCCTCCACGAGGGTCCCTCCCACATTTTCTTGAATAACTTCATTCCTAATCTTATCTAACCTAGTATGTCCGTACATCTATCTCAACATCTTCATTTCAGCTACATTCACGTGAGATTATACATATCATAGTTGCTTTTTGTTCAAACGATTAGGTAGCTGGCTATTTAAGTTAATTTTTCTGCATCAAAAGCATCATATTTACTGCCTTCTGGAGTAATTGGTTAATCTACCACAATTACAAAGGTAATAAAGAGGAACATTTCTTCGGCTTCTAAAACAGAATATCACCTTAGATTATTACCCTTACACATGGCCAACCATCCAAACATGCACAAAATGTAATATTTAATTTAGTCGTGAATCTCCATTATAAACAGATTATGTCTTACCTTATTATTATTCTTGCCGACTGTTCCGCTACTCCAGCTGCAATCTCCTTCTGTTCCGCTTCTACAGCTAAGACCACCTCAGAAAACCATGTACTTAGCATTCAAAAATATTATGACAATATAGATTAAATAAATAGAAATTATTAGTGACTTTGTAGGCCTAATATGTAGCAGCTTACCAAATTCCAAGAAATGCTCATGTTACTATCATATGCTTGATAAGATTCTTATTCCAAACACCATTATATTTACTTCATTTTCCTTATAAGTTACATTACTACTCATTTTATTATTGCCCCATCAAAAAAAATAGTGTTTCCTTTCAAGAAAATAAAGAACAAAAGCAATGCTTACTTCTTCAAAATCTAACCATTTTCGATCGATTAGTTTGCCTGGAAGATCACAATCTAACCATGTTAGATCGATATGTTTGCCTGGAACATCGTATCAAACAACTGAACGAGTTAAACAGGCGATCAATAATCTACAAAAGTTGGAAATATCAACTGCGTCAACAGCAGAGATTATGTACAATGGTTTACTTGGTGTAGAGGAGTTATATAAGTGCATGAATGAGTTACTTAACTTGCCTCAAACACTTCAAGCATTTTCCCAATATCGACTTGGGAAAATGGTTGAAAATTTATTGGATAAATCCGTGAGGCTTCTTGATCTTTGTGGAACAACAAGGGAACTTGTTTCACAATATAAAGAAAATGTAAGAGACCTTCAATCGTCACTCAAAAGGAGGAAAAAAGATTCAACAACAGAAACCAGCATAGCCAAATTCACCGCCTTCGGCCAGAAGATTAAGAAGGAAGCTAAAAGATTAGTTTTGGTCTTAAAGCAAATGGATCAAGAAGCTGAGGGAGGATTTGTACCAAAAGATGCAGATCAGGACACAGTAGATATGATTAAAACACTAAAGGAAGCTAATGCAATGCGCATTTCTATTTTTCAAATGTTCTTGTCTTTCTTGTCTGTTCCACTTTTGAAGCCAAAGTTATCTAAATGGTCATTGGTTTCAAGATTGGTAAATAAAGGAAGATTAGCATGTGAAGTTCAAGAAGAGAAAATGAACTTGGAAACTAGGTTGGAATCATTTGAGGGTCATCTTGATCACTTTGAAAATGGATTGGAAGGAATATATAGGTGCATGAGTAGATCAAGAAGCTCTCTCTTGAATATTTTGAAGGAACTCGGATTCAGTACGCCGATGTGGTTCAACCTGGAATTATGTAGAGAGAAAAAAGAGACGGCCGTTGAAAAACTACTCGGAGAGTTATGTCTTTTCAGAAAAAGTCCTAATGTTAGAGCTCCTTATTATATAGGTAGACATTCTTTTTCTTAAATTTAAAAAAAAAAAAAAAAAAAAAAAAAAAAAAAAAAAAATGCCCTCTCCCTCTTTCTGCAAAAAAAACTCTTCTTTTTGTGTGAAGAACTTCAGTGGAAATATTCTAAGGAGAGAAGAACAGCTCGATCTTCTACGAGACATTTGGAACAATCTTCTTTATAGGTACGATGACGGTTAACTTATGCAGTGTAATTCGTGTTTTGAAGCATGTGGTTGCACTATTTGAGTAGTGAAATAAATACGTTACATTTTGGAGAACTGTGTGTTCTTTATTATATTCGTATTTTCCCTTATTGTTATCAGAACCAGGTTATTTGTTTCCTAGTTTATGATTAAAAGGGATAGAACAACAACCTTCATTCGATGAATGTTACAGTGATATATGATCAATCTTATTATTAAATTGACGCGTTGTCACTGTTTGAAAGAGAATTGTGTAACGGTGACATCCGAATTGCTGTATTCCTTCTTTCAAAATATTGTTCATAGCATTTTGAATGATGTTATTTATGGCGTTTTAAATTGAATACATAAGTTTTTTTTTATTATTATTTTTGGTTGAAACTTACTGCGGTGACATGATTCTGCAAAATATGAGGCAACCTTTTTTTTCTTTTTCCTTGCAAAACATCAGTGTAACAAGGTAGAGAATTAAGGTGAACACATTATACAAAATGAAAGAATACTTAGACCTAAGAAATTCTATTGTTTGTCATCATCATCGTCATCGTCAAATTTTGAAGGTCTATACTGCTGAACAACAAGAACTGAACCACTAATATCAAATTCTGGAGAAGCCAAAAAATCGCCTACTTTACCGAGCTCAGGAAATTCTTCCCAATCACTCATTCCTGTTGTTAAAACCGAATGCCCTCGCCCATCCTTTCCTACTATGAACAATGAATACATTTCAGCCATGTCTCTCAAGGCAGATGCCGTCTCTGCACCACTTTCTACAACCTTCTCGACGTACCCTACTTGACCGGTCACCACATACCTAATAATTTAAAAGTTACTGTCAATATCACACCAGAATGAGAATAATCAACTTAACACAACTACTTCCTTTATTCGTATTTAAACATTTTACAGAGTAAAAAGGCGATAAAGTTGTAGCATGTTATTACCTGTTATGAAACTCTGTCAAAATTGCATTATCTGTTTCTTTCTCTACTTCGTCATTTGATATTGCCATCAAGACATCATCCGTCTTGTGGGCAATATTGACGCCTGCAATTTGTCCTCTTGAAGATGCTGGAAGGAACCTAATTATGGTGAGATTTACGTGATGATCCATGCCAAGACGTTTACTAAAGCCTAGTGCCTCACGATCATCAGGTCCGCCAAAAAATAAGATAGCAATGTGCTGCAGAGAGTCAGAACCCGAAGGATTTAAGGACCCGGCTGTCAGTCCCCGGTCAATAAGAATGGCAACTGAACATGGGACATGACGAAGAACTTTCTGATTTGTAGTTCGTATACCTTGTTTCCCGTTTTCTAGCTTCCCATCGATTCTCTGGTGTTTGTGGAAAGGAAGAACGACGATAGATGCTCTTATGTCTTCAGCATTGTTACAAATATCTGCATGCATACGTGAAAAGGGAGATACCGCTTTAATCTGATGAACCAATAACCCTGTCTCACTAGTGAACATATCCACAGCGTCATTTATCTCAACAACATCATTCCCACCATAATCATCTTCATCGCTTAGTTCATCTTCTTCTTTTTGATTGTACATCAAATTAGTCTTTTTTTTACCAGGGAGCTCAACCAGATGCATTAAGTAAGGGGTTATTGGAACATCTCTTGGCCCTCTGGAGGCTGCAACAAGTCCTAACATAGTTGCCACTGGTCGCGGACTATGCACACAAGCAAGTATTCGTAGTTCGCTTTCTGGATTTTGAGATTCAAAATATATTTGCCTGTAACCAATAATATCACTTTCTCTTCTCACCATGAAAGCTACTATCGGTCCCCATACCAATGTATTCACAATAATTGTTGCAATCATCACGTCGTAGAAATTCTGGCTCAAAACAAGCTGCAAATTTGAGCACTCTTAGTTTCACGTTAGTAACAGGCAAAAGAAAGCAGTTAACTAATGTAAGCAAGTAAATTGAAACATTATTATTCTTACAAGGTATAAAACAATATATATGCTTCAATCTGTTCTTGGAAAGGAAAACTTACATCATCCGTCAAGCCAATTGTCAACGCAAGCATATCAACATGACCTTTTAGGTTCATCATAAATGCCAAAAGCACCCCTTCTCGATAAGGAATCTTTAGGTGGAAGCAAGCTGCCAATGTTCCAACAATCTTCCCTCCAATGCTCGACAAAATAAGGATACAGAATACCATGAAGTTACGAAGATTTTTCAGCTTAGTCACATTTGCCCTGAAACCATGGTTGCCAAAGTAGATTGGAAATATGAAATTGTGAATTGGATATGTGAGTTTGATCAACAAAGTCCGAGCTGCTTTTCCTCCTCTAGGAAACATTGAACCAATGAGGAAAGAAGCTATGATGCTGCTGAATCCAAAATGTTCGAGTGCCATAGCAGCGACATAGAGAATCGCCAGAAGTACACATATTTCAGCATTTCTAAGGTACTTCTGGTTCCTATTCCTCCTATTCAACCAATTAGCGAGATACATATTGATTACAATAACTATACCGACAATAATAAAATAGAGGAAAAAGAAAAAGATCCATTTTGCAATTGATGTTGACTTGTATTCTGAAAGTATAAACAATAGAAACACAGCATATGCATCGGCTATCAAGGAAGAAGATATAGCCAACCGTCCAGTCTCAGAAGTTGAAAACTTAAGGTCAGCTGCCACACGAACCACGTTTGGAGATGCTGCATTCGCTAAGGTTATTATGATCATTAAGGACATCATGAATGAAGAACCACGGGAAGCTGTCTCTTGAAATACTAAGAAAGTGACAGCAGCTGCAAAGAAAGTACATGCTAAACTGCTGCCACATGCAATAATGCTCGCCGGACGTATGTTGCGCATTAGATAAGGGAAGTCCGTCTCAAGACCAATCAGAAACATGATTATAGTTCTAAAAATCAACGCCATGAATTCATAGTAACCCGAAGCGTAACTTTGAATGAAGAATTTCTCTACTGCTTTGATCCGTGAAAAACCCGAGGGACCCATCAAGAACCCCGCCTGTGTAATGAACCACATAAAAGATGTAAGAACAAGAAACAACTCACCCATATGTCCAATCAAAAACAAAGTTATCAATTTGGAAATATCTTGTCACTGTGCACTCTAGGAAATTTTAACTCTTTAATAAATAGCAGGTCATATAGTCCAGCATACTTGTGTCAAAAATGCAACATTGGACCATAAGATCTTTTTAGCTATAAAGAAGTCTTTTTTCCCTCCATTTTTTTTAATGATGGTGATATCCGGACCAGTTTGTGCCTACCTCGACTATTCCACGGGTACCTTCAACCTCCAACCACCACAAGCACAAGGTAACTTTACCCATAGGTCGGGGCCAATTTCTTGTGTTTCTAATCTAAGTCTAAATTGATTAGAAGTTTAGAAATTAACCAAGAAATAAAATAAACAAATAGCTAGCACTACAAGATCCCTAATTCATGTAATAGACAAATCTTGAACAAACTATAGAATAAAAACAGAGATCCTACATAATTGGGCAATCAGATTTAACATACATTACAACAACTATACATGCACACAACATATTCGTATAAATGTTTGTGTGAAGATGACATACTTACGAGAATTTGAACAATGGGTGAAGCTTGGCCTAAGGGCTTGAGCAAAATCTGCAGAACATGAGAGATCACAAGAATGCCAGAATATTGCAAACCCATGCTAATAATTGGGTTGACCAATTCATTATTGCATGAGGCTTGTTGCTCTGTGCCAGCCATTTTCTTGGAAGGAGATTAAAATGGTTAATTACAAGAATTTGGTTATTTGAAGAAGCATTTTCATTGTAATAAAAGAGATTAAAAAAGGCTAAAAGGGTGAGAGGGGAGGGATGAAAAGAGACAGGATAATGCTGCTAGTGATAGCTTTTCCTCCCCCACCACCTTCTTCCTTGGTCCTTTGCTGCTGAATTTTTTTTTCTTTGTTTTTTCTTTGTTTGAACCATTTGTGTAAACCGAAAGAAGTGCGAAAACAAGGTGGTGGATTGCTAGTATCTTTTTGTTTCTTGGTTTCGACCGTTATTAGCGGATGAATGTCTCGTGTCTTGTATATGTTTTATTTTGTTGGCTTTGGCCTATATATGCACAAAGCTTTTATTTTATTTTATTTTAATGCACAAAGCTTACATGGCTGCATTAATGCTAGATAAGGGTGTAAAAATTTGGGGGGAATAAAAGCTTTTTCTTTTTTTGTCATAAAGCATTTCAAATATACCCAAACTCGAAAATTCTATTTTGAAAATTTTACTCAATATAGCTGCGCCCAAAATAATAGCTAGTAAATATGTTATGTTTTTGTGTATGTGTGTGTATAGGCAATTCAAACGGGCACTATGTTTCTTTATGTGCCAATTTGGGTTATATATGCAGTCCACATTGGTTCAAACTTTTGGATGACTAACTTAGGCTATGCCCAAAATGATTGGCCACTGACAATATGTTCAGTGCAACCCATCTATTGGAAAATGTATATGTTTATGAGGTAATTAATTATGACACCCTAACTAAATAATATCTAATAAATATCCAAAATATATCGATCTTGCCCGGACAAAGTTTGTTGGGAGAATTTAACGGAAAGTAGTATTGATTAGTATTTGTTATTTTAGACGTAATGAAAATTAACCAAGACTAAAAACTTTTTTCTAGGATACCATCTGGGTAAGCTTAATTAAACTGTTAATCTAAAATCAGGTAAAGTAGAAATATTGCAGCGTTGACTGTTTCCCGAGTGCAGGTCCACACACCTTGAATCCTTGCATTGACATTTGAATAACGCACGTGAATTTTACATCTGTCAGTTGTAACGA